TTCCCGCTCATCCCGGTCCCTGCCGCTCCTGGCAGCCTCGGGACCCACCCCGGGCCCCGGCCGGAGATTTCCAGGCGGTTCCACCCCAGCCCATCCCATGGGATGCATGGGCAGGAATATCGGACTATTCCCCTGCTCCAGCTTGGAAGCAGCTACAGATGTTTTAAATTATTTTATCAGGAGCGTTTCAGACGTAATTTGTCCGCTTTGGAGTGGATGAGTCAAAAGCGGATGACAAGGTGGCTTCAACCAGGGCCAAAAATGCATCCCCAGCACTGGTGGGATTGCACTCTGAAGTAATTCCAACCTATGAAGTGAGGAACATCCCCTATGGACATTGTGCCAGGGTCATGCTGGGCTATGTCTGGGGATGCCTTGGCAAGGATGAGGCTGCACGGCTGCCCATATCCCTTCCAGTCTCTGAAATCACAGGGAGTGTGCATGCTGGGATGGTGATGCATCCTTCTGCACGCTGGGGTGTGGGAGATGAGAGGTGAAGAAGGATGAGCTGTGCATTCATGGCAGCAAAGCACAGGAAAAGCTTCCTGTCTTCAATTAGTAAGAGGAAAGATTGAAATGGGTTAAGAATGCCTTAAAAATACTGGATTTAATAGGGCCTCAAAGCCTACAGATGCTGCACTGCTGCTCAGGGAGACTGGAAATAGAAGAGGGAACACAAAGCATCTCCAGCAAAATGGAGTATCCTGAAAACATCCCTGAATGGAAATTACTTTCTTTCCCCCAGATCAATGCCTTAAATTTCCATTCAAGGATCCCTAAATCCCAAGAGCTGGAGAGGCTTTGGGTGGCTGACTGTAGATCTCTATGCCTGGGCTACTTAGACCTTATGGAGTTAACTGTGCTGTGTCCATCTGTCCAGCCTGTCCCTGCCTGTCCTTCCCCAGCCTGGTAGCAACACCTCCCTGGAATGATTTCCTCAGGAGCCACCAGGAGGTTTTGCTGTGCTGGAGCAGCGAGAGGCTGAGTGCTGCAGCCTCTGCTGAGCTGCTGGCTAACGGCTCCTTTAAACAGAGCTGAGAGCTGTGCTGCCCAGCTTGGACTGGGGCAATGGCCTGGATCAGGATGAAAGCATGCCAAACACTTTGCCATACTCCTCCATGAAGATTTGATGGCAGCTTTTGCTAAATATCCCCCGCTGTGTGTCACCTGCTGTTACAGAGTTTTGCTGTCCTGGGGAATACCCCCAGCAGCACAACCCAAAATCCCACTGATAGCCAGTGATGCTCAGGGATGGCTTTCCCTGAAACACGACCAGATCAGCTGCCTCCCCTGGCATGGCTGTCTGCACTGGTGAGGATGTAAAACCTACCTGCCTTGTCCCTTCAGTGCCACAGCCTCATGGGCATGGCACAGTAAAACCAGCCTCTGCCTTTACTTAGCTGCTCTCATGGCTTCGCTGGGCTCCTGCTCCCTGCCCGAGGCTGTTTTGGGGCCTTTCAAGCCCAAAGGTGTGTGGTTGTGGGGACCTTGAGCAGCAGCAGGCTGGAGGCCATGCAGGAGCTCTGGCAGTGCATGCTCATGGCTGTGGCTGTGGGGACCCTGAGCAGCAGCAGGCCGGGGGCTGTGCAGGAGCTCCAGCAGTGCATGGCCATGAGGTTGTGTGGCTGTGGGGACCCTAAGCAGCAGCAGGCTGAAGGCCGATCAGGAGCTCCGACAGTGCATGCCTGGGGCTGTGGCTGTGTCCGTGGGGACCTGAGCAGCAGCAGGCCGGGGGCTGTGCAGGAGCTCCGGCAGTGTGCGGCCATGGGGTTGTGTGGCTGTGGGGACCTTGAGCAGCAGCAGGCCAGGGGCCGTGCAGGAGCTCTGGCAGTGCGTGCCCGTGGCTGTGGNAAGCAGCAGCAGGCTGAAGGCCGATCAGGAGCTCCGACAGTGCATGCCTGGGGCTGTGGCTGTGTCCGTGGGGACCTGAGCAGCAGCAGGCCGGGCTGCCCGAGGCTGTTTTGGGGCCTTTCAAGCCCAAAGGTGTGTGGTTGTGGGGACCTTGAGCAGCAGCAGGCCAGGGGCCATGCAGGAGCTCTGGCAGTGCGTGCCCGTGGCTGTGGCTGTGGCTGTGGACATCCTGAGCAGCAGCAGGCCGGGGGCTGTGCAGGAGCTCTGGCAGTGTGTGCCTGTGGCCGTGGGTGCATCCCTGCACATCCCTGCGGGTGGAACGAGGCAGCTGAGAGAGGCTCGGCCCGGGGAAGAGCAGGGCACATGCCCATGGACACTCAGCGGTGCCAGCAAGGGAGCGGCACCATCTGTGCCTGTGCACCCCTGTGAGGGGGGAGGCAGGGGCGGCCAGGGCCTCTGCTCTGCCGCGGACATTCCTCTCCCTTCCTTTGTGCCGCAGGAAATCTGCGCTTCCTCCCTTCCCAGCGCTGCTCCCGCCTCAATCGCTACCAGATGTGGCTCCCATGCATTTCTCATTAGCCCGGCAGCTCCGGGCGCTGCCGCTGCAGCCTGCGGGGCTGGCGACACAAACGCGGCCATCCTGGGGCTCCTGGGGGCGGGGGTCTGAGCTGGTGTGTGCTCCATGAGGTACCTGGAGCTTTGCACCGGCATCATTGCTGGGCCAGGATGCTGATGGGGATGCAGGGATCTCTGTGGGGATGGAGCTGGGACAGGGTCCTCTGCTGGGACCTGCACAAGTGCCGTGGGGACAGAGGGACGTGGGGTTGGGGTTGGAGGAAGGAGCTCAGTGAGCTGGACTGCAGCTGGGTCAGCCATTGGGGACAATCTGCAGCCCTAGGCTGGCTCTGGGAATTTAGCAGAAGTGGGTGGGTGGCACACATGGGGACTGGGGCTGGAGAGCACAGTGACCTGGGGTGTCCCATGCCATGTATGTCCAGGCAGGGAGTACATCAAGATACGTTAGGATGTGCAGGAAGCTCTTGGGGGGTGGGTTCAGGCTGAGGTGGCATAGTCCCTGACCAGCTAACAGTGTTTGCAGTGGTGCCACAAGCAGCTCAGGTGACACAGCATGGGTGGAGGAAACACGGGTGCTTCCTGAGCTCCCTAGAACATGCCAGCACCAAGGACGAAACCACGGCCGCTGGACCCAGGGGCTTGAGAGCAGAAACAACCCTGCAGGTGGGTTGTGATGCCTAGGAAGAGCCTTAACTAAGCCCGGATTGAACTATGAAGCGATAGAAGGACCTGAGAAAGCTTGTCTGTCCTTGCTCACCCTGTCACCCCCACCATGGAGTGAGAAAGTGGCTGGGGAAGGGCCCAGTGGGACTCTCCCTGCTGGGCAGGATGAGGCCACAATTTTTGTGTACTCATGGCCACAGGACCTCTCCACTGGGAGAATGAGATGTTCCTTGCCTTGGCACAGAGGAATCTGTGGCTGATCTTGTCCTGCTGCTGCTTCTTGAGCCCCCAAACCAGCTGTGGGGTTTTTCTCATGCTGGTGGTGCAGAGGAGGCCGGGGGGAAGCAGGGGGACAAGAAATACAACAGGAATGGAGTGTCTGTGGAGCCTGGTGCATGGGGGTACATTGCCATAGAGAATAATCCCTGAGAACCCTGGGCACACACCTTCCTGCAGGAGATGTCTGCCCAAGCCTGGAGTCCCTGGGAGAGCTGCCACATCACCATGGCTCTGAGTCACCACTCCAGAGCTGGGAGTGGCCTCCCCAGCCTTTGGTGAGTGTGGTGTCACCGGACAGCCAGCTGTCACTGAAAGAGGCCAATGCTCTGCAAATTCTGCCCCAAACATAGCTTTACTGTGTTTCCTGTGGAGTCAGGGACAGGTCAGCATAGCTGGTCCTTGGGCTGGGAGCTGGTGAGCACCCCAGCAGTGGCTCTGCTGCCATGGCACCAGTGTGGCCCGAGCTGGCCTGGCCGTGGCAGGAGCGCAGGCCAAGGCACAGTGCCTGCAGTCAGTGCCTGGCTGGAGCCTGAGCCAGGGCTGGAGCCAGGCTTTTCCTGAAGCAGCAACCCCCTGCAGCCAGGTCTGGGGGGCTGCTCTCCTCAAGGCTGGATCTGTCTCTCAGCCAGCTTGGCTTGGATGATTTCCTCAAGTCTCCTCCAACTC